ATAAACCAAATAAGTTCACCTATTCCATGTTTTGTAGTAGATGGTGTTCTAGGCTGAAGCTTCTCAGCTGAAGTAGAAATAGATATGACTCATTTATTCTTCGCACTTAATAATTCATTTTAAAGATAGTTTGTCCTGTCACTGATCCTTTCTACCTCAATGATGCCTTTTTGTAGTTGATGTCTGCCTTTTTGTAGTTGATGTCTGCCTTTACTTCATTGTCTTTTTTTGTACTTAACATTAAACTTTAATGATTTCTTTTTGTGCTTGTTTAATCTTGTTGTTGTAATCCTACTGTACATCTCCTGCAATTTCGTCAATCTTCTCTTCAATCATATTTTTCCACTTTCTATTACTTTCTTCTTCATTTTCTATAAATTTTCTGACTTGTTCCTCTTATCCTTGTCTTAATAGTATCATCTTCAGTAACGGTTGAATCTCACTACTTGACCTCATGGTCACCATCTTTAACAGGTGGATTTGTAATTCAAGTGTATTTCAACTTCCATCTTATTTTCACAAAACTAATATCTCACTTCTGACACAAAGTACTAAGACAGTGTTTATTAGTTTGTAGGTTCTTTTAAGTTATGTGTTGAAATTAACTCAAAGTCTAGACCATGTAAACTACAAATGAATGAGTTTATTTTCCCCTTTAGCGTTTATTCAAGTGTTAATACTCTTACACTGTCGTAAATTGTTCTAGGCCTACGTTACAAGTTATGTGAAGTGTCATAAAATAGAAACAACTTACTGATACAAAGTAAGCACAATAGCTAACAGACTGATTCCCTATTATCTTCTTAAAAACTCTAAATGCTATTTCCTTTACTATCTTTCAATTCACTCTACTCTTGAAACACACTAGTAACAATTATACACACTTCACAATCATCTCGTATTTATAATTTAGCTTTGAATGTACAAGAAAACTTTATGCCACATCGTTATAACTTTCTTGGGGTTCTTGGCCTATCTTAAGAAAACTTTTGATCTGAACTTTATCATTAAGCCTGCAGCTTCTTCTAGTCAAATTTTAAATTAAATCATCAAAAATATAGCTTACAACAAATGATTGGCGTTGTAAGTACCCAGGGTTGGAATATAATAGATTAAGATAATTCGTATTTCGTACTGTTCGCCAAAAATATTATTAGAAAAATAATATTTTGAATGCTAATTATAATTCTGTTTTTGTAAAAGAAGTATTCAGTAACTGGAGGCTGAACAATTGAATGACAATGAAAAGTCTTCACCAGATCGCGAAAGTGTCGAGGATCAAAGAAATGTACAAAAAGTTATCTTTGTTCACATTCATCAGCTAAAAAACGTAAGGAAATGGTGGAGGTCCACATTGCTCTAATTAGATTTTTAGCTACACAAAGCCTACCATTGTATGACTACAATGATGGGTCTGCAAATTTTAATAGACTGATTTAAATTAAAAGCACAGGACATCTCTGGATTAAATAATTCTTTATGTGTTTTCCAAGATCACAAATCTTCTGAAAGAGATTGCCACGAAACCATACATCCAGCTTTGAGTGTATTTCTCTTTATAGGTACATAGAGTTTATTGAGTAAAACTATCTAAACTGAATATTATTATCTCAAACAAATGTGTGTGAATCCTATTTTTCGCTAAGTGTGGTGCAGTACACTACACATTTAACTGTGGGTGGAAAGTATTTTAATTTACACGTAGTGACTTACAGAGATGACCATTAAATTACTGTTTTAATTAAATTAAAAGGCTGTGTAGCGGATTTGTTATTATATATATTTATTTTAATATTGATGTTTCTTTAGATTAAATTTATATTTAGAAACATACATATCTAAAGTTGTAGAAGATTCTCGAATGTAAGAATCAACAATATATGTATGTACGTAAACGCTTAACTTTGTATTGTTATGTAATCTGAATTTTCTAGAAAGCCTCCACCCACCTATAAATATAACCAACGCGACGCGCCAAAAAATAATATCTATTATTAGTTCGCTATAGTCTGTGCGCTATAAGCTTTGGAAGCTATAACTATGATTATTATAACGCTTATCAATCAGAAAACTTCAGATATTTGACCAAGAACCTTTACAAAGTTCGAACATTACAAATCATTTAACTTCACTGGATGCTCATCTGACATTAGTATTTTTACGAAAACAATTATATAAATTACATCGTGTAAAACTACGACGTGCGTGGACTATAAAT